GCCTTTAAATTGCAGGTGTCAGGTGTTTTATCGCAGCAGTGGGGAAGTTACTAATACAGGCTCCATTTGTATGCTATTTTTTCTGCCCTTTGTGTGAATCATAAGAGTTAGGAATCAAATAGGCAAATAAACACTGTCTGGACAAGAAGTGATGTATTTTAATCTTGACTTTTTTCCAGAAAAATAAATGAAAGCAATGTCTCTCCAAAAGAATTTGGATCTCAGCCACCAATTAATTCATTACACAGCAAATAAAATTCCATATACAAGAGTCACTAGGAAGGTTGGGGCTATAGCTCAGTGGTAGAGCAGTTGCCTAGTTTGAACAAGCTGGGTTCCATTCCGAGGGAGACAGAGAGAGACAGAGAGAGAGGCTCACTAGAAACTAAGAAAACATCAAACTTGAGTATATTTCTGTTAGAATGTTAGCTCTATGTGTAATTTTCTTTTTAAAACCCCTGAATCTCTGGCACCTATACAATGCCTTCCACATAGCATGTGTTTGATAAATGCTGAATGGATGAGTGAATAAAGGAATGAATATTTCTAAGCCAGAATCTTTTAAAAAATTAATTGCTAAAAGTCATTAGTGTACCATTTTTGTGCAGAGATATGTGGTATTTGATTATACAAAAGCTTTTTATTAAATCAAAAAATGGATAATGATTAAATGACTTTTTAAAGGTCATGGTGCAAAGAAGTGATAATAGTTCTAGAATTCTTAGGTTGTCTATTAGAAAAATAATTGTCCATTACAATTTTTATATTATTAGTTATGTTATTTCTAAACTGTTTTTCCCTCTCAGGCAACAGTTTAGAAAAAGAGAGACAAAGAGAAAGAGTCAGTTCTTTTTAGTTCTCACCAAAACATGGACTGATTAAGGTGAGGTGGTACTTACCATGCCCGCATGTTGCCCACCCCAAACCTGAGCAGAGCGGGAAATGGATTTGTGAATAGCATATGTGGTGTCTGAGGGAGCCTCTGACCAACTAGAAAGCTGATAAAGATGGTTTGGAGATTTCCACTACTTGGTAAAACCTAAGCTTCTTCCATTCCCACCCTCTCTCAGCATCTGGAGGGCTAACAAAGCATCAGACCTACTAACAGATTCTTTGAAGCAGTGAATCCCTGGGGCCTAAGGAGGTTCTCAGGCTGGAGAGGTGGGGGCTTCTGCAGGGATTGCTAGGGCCCCTGGATGTTCTGTCATACGCATGAACCACTAGGCTGGATCTTAACAAAGACAAAAACAAAACAAAACCTTGTAACTTGCCCAGTGCTGCGGTTCCTTCTGATACACAGCAAGGATGGTTTTAAAGCATAAATATGAAATAATGACTCATCACTGGCTCTCGCATACCATGTGCAAAAAGAAAGGCTTCCACTAAAAGGTTTTTACTGTGAATGTGTGGGATAGGGGGGACCAGAGGGTGGAACTCTTTGATGTGCTTCAGTTCTTTTCATCCTAACCACTTTCATTTCCAAAGCTGAAAACACCAGGAAAGAACAAAAGATGGCCCCTGGAGCCAGCCTAACCTCCCCTGGTGGAGTACTCTCCAAGTGCTAGCCCAGCTTCCCCAAGTTGTTTTTATTCATTCTTCGCATTATTTGATTTCAAAGTGAATCTTTATCCTACTCCCACACCTTGGCTCAGCCACCTTGCCCATGAGTAGTTAATTCTTCTACCTTGGACTGCAGGCACTAACACGGAGGACAGACACATTGTTAGGTCCACCCTCTGCCTTCTCTTTGACGTTCCTTGAAATAGTGATTTTATTGCTTGATATCTGTGACCTAAATGAAATTAAAGGGCATAGGATAGAGTAGAGGAATCTCTGGAAAACTGCACCAGAGAGGGCACTCCCATCCCCCCTATTCCTACGGAACACTGCAGCATTGCTTGTGCCTGGAGTCTTAAATGAATGAAAAGAGTCTTATTTGTAAATGAGTAAGACTTAGCTAGTGATCCTCCTTGGGTCTCATCAGATGAAAAGATGGAAAAGGAAGAAAACTATACCAACTGGAAGATGTCTGTTGGTACAACAGACATGATTGCAATAAAGAGTGTATTGGTTTGGTGTCAAGTGTTCCAACACATGATTGTCTATGTGGCTTTACGATTCTAAGAATAAAGCAAAAAAGGATTCCACTATCAGAGAAATTTGGAAGTGGTAAAGTTAAACAGGTTTCTAAATGGCATAAGTTTTCAGAGCTAACAATTACAGCGAAAATCACTACTGTTTGTTAAGGGACTACTATGCACCCAGCACAGTAGATGCTTTATATTTCTACTATTCCAATAAATCTCCATAGCAAATTTTCAAGGTAGCACCATCACGTCCGCATTACAGATGAAGAAACTGAGGCTCAGATATTAAATATTATACTCCCTGGGCTAGCTGATGAGCGGTGGAACTAAAGACTTGCTCTGTTTAATTTTTAAAGAACAAAATGCTCACTGAAAGATTGTGGTCCTCTAAGCTAAAGGAACTACAGGAAGATTTCTAAATACGAAATTGTATGGTGGGGTTTGGGCACTACCGCACAAAGGATCCCCTGCCTAGAAGGATTTCTCAAAGAAGCCTGTCCTTCATTTCCTTAGTTCTCACCCAAGTGACCACAGTGGTTTTCAAAATATCAATTTAATTTCAAACAGGCCATAGCCCTTCAGTTTGCAGTCACCCGTACTCCTTTTCTTTTAAAATGATGACAACTGACTTACAATCAGCATCTCTAAGAAAAAAATATTCTGAGACATTGCTAAACAATAAATATACACCAAGGAGTTCCCACTCTCTCTTCTGTTGCCACATGAGCTATGGTTCTAACAGAGTTCAGCACGCCCAGAGTGCCTAAGGACAAACACATTACCTGTATCTTTTGCTTGGCCAAATGCAGAGGTTTTTCTCACTGCAGATGTCTTAAGAGAAACAAAGATGAGAAAAAGCCTTCTTTATAAAGGAATGTGGAGGTCTGAAAGAAAAGAGTTATAATCGCAGCTCTCTCTGGAGCACCCCTAACTCACACACACACGCACACACCTACCTCACATCTCTGCAGGGAGAGCTTCTGTTTAAATAAATACACACAGAGAAAGAAACAGCTAGAACAGTACCTGGCTGCTTTGCCTTTCTGCCTGCTTTGCCCTTCTGCCAGAGCCACAGCCCTCAGAGCTGCAGTTCTCTGACCCAACCTTCCTCTCTATTCCTGGCCTGAAGATAAAGAGATGTGCTCAAGTAATGGGCTGCAATCTCAGCAGTCACATGACTGCTTCCAAGAGGACCACACTCTGCTCAGGCTGCTGTTTGCAGAAATCATCCACATCCGTACAAAGTAGAAAAGAGGCATTTAGTAAACAAAGGGCAGAAAAGCAGTTATTGGGGCTAACAGAAGAAGAGTTTTAGCAAACAGTTTGGTGATGTAGGTGCAATTAGGAGAAGTAAGAAAGCAAAGCATTCTTCCTTAGGACTAGAAAGACCTGGACTTAAGGGCACGTCTACTGATCACAGTGTCAAAAATGAATCCACGTGACTTTGGACTCCCCTAGGCACTCAACAAACTTCTCATTGGAGAGCCTAACTGTGAGAGGAAGATTCACATCCCTTCATGAGCAAGAAGGAAGATAATGTTGACTTGAGCTTCAGGAGGAAGAGGAGGAACACACCAGGGCAAACTCGAAGTGCCCATGTCAGTAATGGATGCCAAGGGCCAGGATTTGGCTATTTTTCAACGTGGTCCAGGGATGGTCTTGTTCCCAGAGCCCACGCTGAGTATGGCTACACCACCAGCCATTTTCCGCCTGAACTCTTCCCAGCTGGTGACACAGCATGTGTGTTCTCAAGCATACTATCTTTAGGCTTCACCAGCCAGAATTTACAGGACTCTAGCCATAACCATTTCGTAACCCCACCCAAGCTGCTCTTTACCCCTATCCCTCTCGGCAATTGACAGCCACAAGAGAGCTAGCAAAATGGTTACCTAGTTTGCTATCTAATCGAATGAAGTCCCTTTAAAAATAGCTGGAAAGGGAACTCTGGGCTTCTGTACTTTATTAGCATATTAAATATTAGCAGCGGGCCTCATTATGAGGCAATACAACCATACAGGTTTCCATGGCAGAGACATAAAGACAAGGATCTGATGAAGCTGCCGCACACATTGTAAATGATAGCATAATTACCCAGGCTCCTCCTAAAATAGTGGACAGTGTGGTTATATGGCTTTTCCAGCCAAATGCCTGTTCAATCCACAGCAATTAAATATAATGGCTATGTCGAGATACAGTTGTTCAAGTGTCACCTCTTCTGTGTCAAGCCTTTCCTGAATCACCAAAGGGGAATTAGTCAGCCTGTCTCCTGGCTCTCAAAGCCACATGTGTGTCCAATTATAGAGCTTCCCAAAGCTTGCTGTAATTTGCCTTTCCACACACCAAATCCTAAAGGGGAGAATCCATTCCACTCCTCTTGGCGTCCTCAGCACTGGACACATAAAAAGTACTCACCAAATATTCTGTTAATCACAGAAAGAAGGGAAAGGAAGGAAAGAGCTCAAGATCTAGGTGGGTATTTTAGTGGCCAGCCTCTGGATAATGAATTATATTGGCTGTGCTCTTGATATAATTTAAAACTTATAATTTGCCTTAAATGAACAACTTCACCTCTTTGTTGTACAAAGAACACTGAGATGTTACTTCAAGCACCACAAGGAATCCAATCGCCAGTCTCCATTGCTAAATGAACAAACACTGATATATGTGAATAAATCATAATAACGACACATCTATTGAGTACTTACCATGTTCTCGTACTTATTAATTTCACATGTGTTCATCTTATCTAACCCACACACCACCCTATGAGGTATACACTATACTATTATTATCCCTACTTACACAGCCCAGTGTGAAATGTCAAATGAAAGGCAGAGCTGGGATCTGAACCTTGGCACTCTGACACTAGAACCCCTTCTTAGAATCATTACACTATATTGCCTGGATCAGTACCTTGTTTGTTTGCAAAATTCAGATTTTAGCCTCTTCTCAGATGTTCTCTGGCTTTCCTGTAGTTGAGCAGAAATGTGTTCTCCCAGTCTGAAAAAAAAAAAAAAAAGAATAGGCAAAGTCATGCAAACAGTGGTAAACTCACTCGTTAACAGATTCGTTCTCCTAACAGTCAAGGGGGTCATATGCTCTCTCAGTGAGCACATCTGCATATGAAAACAACCACTGGAAAGGTGAGAGATCAGTTTCCCCCTGGGAAAGGCCAAGGCAATGCCAGATTGACTAAGATGCCTTGTGCTCTTCCATTCCATTCGACAAATGTCCACTGAGCTGCACTGCGGGGACACAAACAGTGAACAAAATGTACATGACTGGGTGAGGCGAACACACAGGTAAATAAGAAATTGCAATAAAATCACAAATTAAATTAGTCACCCCAATTGGATTATAAGCTCTGGGTACCTATAACAGTGCCAGGCAAATAAGCAGTATCTATTACAAGAATAAATGAAAGTGATGATATGATTGATATGATATGATATGACAGACTCTCTAGTGTCTACCTGGAGGACACTACAGGACACAGAGAAAGACCTTTATCCTAGAAATGGGGACGACAGAAGGCTCTCAAAGTACCACACAAATCTGATGACTGAACAGACATGAGCCCAAAGCAAAGAGATGGCAAAAGAAGAGGATGTTCTCGTAAGCATGTGTAGTCCACAGTACTTAACAAGAATGGGAAAGCGGAGAGGGAAACGAAAAATCAGAAGCATCTGCATTCCTCGTAATGTTGCAGTTAGCCTTTGAGCAGGCAGGTGCCTGACAAAATGGAAAACTGGCTGGGTGTCCACCTCTGCTGGCTGAACCTACCTTTCTTCACTGCATCTCTTTCCTTCCTCACTTCCCCACTCCCCAATGGCTTGCCCTCACCTTCCAAGTCAATTTCTTGTTAAATGCTTGCCTCGGGCTCTGCTATTGAGGGAATTCAAATCAGGACACTTGGTTAGTCTGTGGTAGTGACAAACTATGCAGAGACAGAGGAAGAGAGAAGGCTGGCTACCTCACAAGGGAGGGAGAGGGAATTCCAGGCAAAGCTCTCCTTTTCCTTTTTTTTTTTTTTTTTTTTTTTTGTCTTTTTGAGACAAGGTCTCACTATGCAATTCAGGCTGGCCTTGAGCTCACTTTGTAGCCCAAGCTGGCCTCAAACTCGCAACAACCCTCCTGCCTCAGCCTCCCGAGTGCTGGGATTACAGGCGAGTGCCACCGCACCCAGTGAAAGCTCTCCTTTTCATAAGCTTCCTGATACCAGCCAAGCCAAAGTACTTCTAATGGGAAGCTCCTATTATTGATCATGACACACCCTGAGGAGTATGGTAAAACAGCACAGCCGCTGGATTGGGGAGTAGACTGCAAAACAGCAATCTGCACAGATCTTCTTGGTGGGAGGTATCTAAGGGATATGTTTGCCCATGGCCCCTGGCACCTCAATGCCCCATAGCACCACAGCAGAGAAGCTCAAACAGGGCTGGCCTTCCAGCTCTGGCAACTCTCAGCTGCCTTTCTGGTGCTCGGGTCAATGGCAAACCAACCATACCCAACCACTTCCTCTTAGCAGTCCCCAACACTGGGTTACCTGCCCCCCTAGCAGATGTACAGAAATCTGTTGGACAGCAAAAAAGCAATATGGATTCAGTATTTTTAGCTGTACATAAACGAATATTCCTGCATCAAAGGTACATTCTCAAAAAAGTTTTACTGTGAGGTGCTCATGATCCAAAAAATTCAAAGAAAGTCTTGGGATATAACTCAGTAGTACAGTGCTTGCCTAGTATGTATAAGGCCCTAGATTCTATCTCCAACACCACACACACACACACACACACACACACACACGTACACACATGCATGTACACACACACACAGCTTCCCAGGGGGCTTCAGTATAGGTAAGATAGGCTAAGAACATTCTACCACATAACCCTGTGCTTCCCATGGAATGAAGCTATAAACCTGTCCGGAATCCATGAAGAAGCTACTTGAGGCTCAGAGCAGACAGACTGCAAGACACAGTCTCCTACAGTGATCCCCACCTCCTGGTCAGTTCACACCCTTTGTGACCCCTCCCTTTGAGCATGGGCTGGACCTACTGACTGGCTTTTAATCAACAGAATATGGCAGTGATGTTGGGATGTCACTCCTATGACTAGATTGTAAGATATTATAACCTTCTGATCATTATTGCCTTCACAGCTTGCATACTTTCAATGAAGTAAGCTGCCATGTTGGAGGGGCTCACCAGGAAAGGCCAAGGAGAAGTCTCTGTCCAAAAGCCAACAAAGAGCTGAGTAAGGTCTTCAGTCAAACAAACTGAAAGACTGAATGGTTTCAACCATCACACGATCTTGGAAGTGGATCCCTCCTCAGTCAAGCCTGCAGATCGCTGCCGCCCAGCCAACCCCTGGCTGTACCAGCTCATGACAGATCTTGGAGGACAGGGCCCAGGTAAGCCATGCCTGGATTGCTGCCCAATAGTAGAAACTAGATTATAAATATGTGCTGTTCAAAGCTGCTAAAATTTTGTTCATCTGTTACAAGAGCAATAAATAAGTAACACAGAGACTCTGAAAAATAAATAATGTACAAGGTAGATTAAGAAAACATCAAAATTCAAAGTACCACTGAACTGGCAGTGAGTTTACCTTTTCTTTCCTTTCAGTTCCCTCAAATTAAATTCAAGGAAGCAAAAAATTGAAATTAAAAGCACAGTGAGATCCCACTATTCAACTATTAGTACAGTTAAATTTAAAAAAATACTAAAATAATCCGGGCATGATGGCACATGCCTATAATCCCAACACTTGAGAGGCTGAGGCAGGAGAATTGCAAATTCAACTCCCATCTGGGCAACTTAGGGAGACTCTATCTGGGGGCCAGGTGAATGTAGTTCAGTGCGAATGTCCAATGTTCAATTCCCAGTACCCAAAAAAACTAAAATAAATAAAATGCTAAAACAAAACCTAGTGCTGATAGAATAAGGAGCAAGTAGAACTCTAATACCCTGCTGGTAGGAATGCAAAGTGGTACAACCACTTTAAAAAAGAATTTGGTACTTTCTTATAAAATTGTACATTTACTTATCATATGACAGCAATCTTACTCTGGGGTAGTTACTCTAAAGAAATGAAATTCTCTACTCACACAACAATCTCATATGATAAATACAGAAAACAGCCCAAATGTCTTTCAGTGGGTGAATGGATACAATAAACTGTGGGACATCCACACAACAGAACATACTTAGCAATAAAAAGGAATGAACCGTTGATACACATAACCTGGATGAATTTCAGAAGCATTATACTGAGTGAAAGAAGTCATGGTTACCAATAATGGAGAACATTTAGAGCTTTTAATGACAACAAACAGCCAGCTATAGCATGCACGCCGTAAGTTTACCACCACTGGTAAACATTTATATGACATTATCAAAAAGATGAAACTGCAGTCATAGAGAACTGAGGAGGAAGAGGAGGAGTACTACAATGGTTGGCAGGAGAAAATTTTAGGGGGTGGTGTTCTGTTATTCTGATTATGGTGGTATTTACACTAATCTGTTAGAATTCACAGAACAGTACTATAATAAAAGTCAATTGTAAAAAAAAAAGTCAACTGTATGCTAATTTTAAAATATATTTTTAGAAAAATTTTCATAGAGCTGGCTCTGGCTTAGTGCCCTCGGGTCTGTAGATATTAGTCCCCCTAGGCTGACCTGACTGCCAAGGTCCTTTCCAAATCATGGTCAGAAGCAGCATCCTCTGCTGTAAACTTAGAGCACTGAGGAAAACACCTGTCCTTCCCTCTGGCTTCTCTTAGTTTTCTGTCCCTGGGGAAAATGTGAAACGCAGAGATACACCCCAAGCAGAAGGTACATCCCACCCGTTCTTCACCCAACAGATACTTGCTAAGTATATTCCACCTAGGAGGAAGGAGACCATGATGAATAAAGTAAGATGCATTCCTCTGACAGCGTCCCAGTGTGATAAAAGACACCGGCACACACACACAAATAATTGCAAGAGAAGAGGTGTAGGCACAGAGGTATGCCCACATACTACTGGAGTCCAGAAAGAAATTAGTTCTGCCTGGGAAAGCCAAGCAATATTTCAGAGGGCATAAAAGGTGAGGGAAAGCATCTCGGGGAACATGGGAACATTTTATATTTGAGTAATGTTTCCTGAGATGGGGGGACAGACGGGGTATTAAGTAGAGCTGGAGACATTAACCTAGGAAGGGAGGCGCCAACTGTGAACATCAATGCTTAATGGGCTGAGGCAGATAACAGAAATGAATAACGCGGTCTGGGTAGCAACTATGGGAGATGCAGAGGGTTTTTGTCTATATGAGGCAGCTGCTACTTACTGCTAACTCCATCTCAGGCATCTATCCGGAGATCTCGGCCCAGTGTTGCCTGGTGCAATTTTTCAAGAGAAGCTAAACATACTTTATGATCTTTCTAGCTTAAAATATTTGCATAAGTATATTTCAGCAAACTTAACATGCCATCAATTATAGGGTACATCACTACTTTAGGTACCGAGCAAGAAAGAAAACCACTGCCAATCAAACAGTGACATTCTGTCAGTTTTAAAACACATCTCCCATTGGAGATGCTAACATTTGAAAAAATGTGCATCTTAGCACGAACAAAATACAATCATTCTCATTTCCTCAAAATACTGTATACACTGCATTGATTCAGTGTGAGGCTGCCAGATTGTGAACCCTGTTTAAGTCAAGGGGAGCCCGAGGGTAATCTGATTAGATACAAGCTGTGGGAAGATTGCTGTGGAGGTCAGCTGGTAGTGAACTGGGGAAAAGCCAGTAATAGGAAGACCAACAGTGAGGCTCCTACAATTATCCTAGAGAGAGACAGAGATAGTAAGGGCCAAATTAAAGCTACAGCAGTGAGGACAGAGAGGAGGGAGGGATTAAGCATAAGAGTTTTATGTAACAAACCCTACCAGCCTCCGAGTAGGTATAGAGAATGAGGGAGACAAAAGGATAAGAAAGATTTCAAGGTTTCTAAC